TTGAAATATGTGTACTTAGCTTTATATGTGAGATATATATATTGTAAAATGAGTAAATAGACATTTTCCTTTAACCAGGAAATATGTGTAGACCTTATTTCCACAACAGTCCCCCCTAAAATGGCTATTTACCATTACAACTGCTGCTGTCCCTAATATGTCCCTAGTTGCCCGCAACCTATCTGTCTTGACAAGCATCGAACACTTCACTCCGCGGGTATCCCGCAGTGGCTAGCCCACTACATCTCCACACGTGAGACTCACCTGTCAAGACAGACGCTTTCCCTACTCTATCCCTACAAAAAAGCAGTTGTCTGTTTAAACTGATGTGTTTGTAGGGGTGTATGTGGGGTGTCATCTTCATGGTCTGTGATATCCTGATGTATGAAGGTAGGGGTCACATTCTCTACAGTCTTATCTACCGCTTTCTGCAGATATTTCTGTATACAGGGGAGTATACAACAGGCTGAGAACAAAAAGATAATGAATACCATGAGAACAGCTGTCCCTACCTGAAAGAGGGTCTTTTGCCAGCCATTCATCCACCCAAACCATTTGTCCCATATGTCAGTGACTCCCGAATTCTTCTTTAATTCGTCTGCCAGACTATCTAGCTTTTCTATGGCCATAGTCACTTTACCATTGGGCCCCGTGTTGTCTGGAATGTATGTGCAGCATGTCATGGTCTCAGGGAGGATTTTACATACTCCCCCTTTTTCGGCTAGAATCATATCTAGGGCCATTCTGTTCTGAAATGTCATTTGGGTAGTGGCTTGTAGTTGCTCTGCCAGGCCCTGTAGGGCATCCCTTGTGTAGTTGACAAAACGTTGCTGATTATAATAGATATAGTTAATCCAATTGACATTCTTGTTAGCAGTTATCATTGGGATTAGGGACTCAAACCCTGCAGCCACTTCATCTCTTGCTTTAAATTCGTTAGGCACCCCCCTTGGCACACCTATGGCATCAATATACACATGGGGGTCGAAACTCCCTTGAATAGGGGTCTCTCGTTTGGTTCTAGAGTGTATATGTGTGAGGTTAAGCGTGTTATGGTCACCATCTGGAATGATGTGGATAGGCATTATGACTTTGGTTAGGGCACACTCCCCCCACCATTGGCCAGCTAATTGGGGCCTTAATTGTTTGTCACCACATAACCAATAGATATCACCGATTGTCTTTGTGTGATTCATTAGCAGTGATACAGGTGGACTATGGTAAGTTGAGCAGTATCCTGATGGGAATTTGCCCAGATACAAACCAGTGTTTTCTGGTATTGAATAGCATGTGTAATTACCTGGGTAGATGGTGACTCCATCGGGTGGTTTCACAGGTCCATGAGTGATTGGGTAAATCTTCTTCCAGGATTCACATGTTGAGGAGTTAGTGGTGGATTGTGCATACAAACTCAGTACACATAATTCTATTTCCGGAGGTAAACTCAGAGGTACTGTACCCAGATGGGGTCTGGCAACTCCGCATACATAACAATTAGTCTTATTGTGTGAGTTGGCGTTGTACCTCATCCATTCTAGCCATAAATTGGTATCTGAAAACCCTGTTTCTACTGCCATGGTATCTTCAAAGGTGGGGTTGGCTATGGCTACCATGTCATGTAGGGTTTTGATGTGTGGTTTCAATGGGTTAATGACCATATGTGTAGTTCCCACCCAATCAGAGGAATTTAGCATATCTTGCAGGTAAAAGGTCCCTAATGTGTTATGTGAGCCACCTCCCTTCCAGTACATTCCCATCACATACTCCCCTGCATCCCTTGGACTAGGGTGTTCTATGTTTAAGGTGAGTTTAATGGGAGTTGACCCTATGGGTTTACTCAGGGTCATTCTAGAGAGCAAGGGTTTCCCGTCTTTGTCAAGCTTGTCTAATGCAACTTGAGGTCTGTAGCCCCATGGTCTACCTGTGTTCCACCCGGCAGCTTTCCATGAACTACAATGGTGTCCCCAACCTCCGCCAGTCACACAAATGTATGGATCCTTTTTGTTAGGTATGTCCTTATATACAGCTGCATGTTGTGTTTGTGGAAATGTACAAGTAACTATGTCACAATAGTCAAAGGTGTATGTAGCCACATCAGTATTAGAAGAATTGTACCAAAAAGTGTAAACATGGTTATCTTTGGTTATGGCCACTTGTTGGGCCCATGCAAAATGTAGCAGCATAAGAAAACACAAGACACATAATAAATTCATTTTTCAACAGGATCAGACTCTTCTGGAGCAGGCACTTTTTTGCAATGTGAAGCGTGTATCCAAGAACTCTTCCCAGCTAGTTTAACTGACGTTGCTGTAATCAGGAGCACTTGGTAAGGACCATCAAATCTCGGTTCCAGGGTGTGTTTTCTGAGAAACTTCTTAACCATAACCCAATCACCTGGAAGCAGCTTGTGTGTACCTGTGTTCGACTCAGGATCTGGAATAGAAGAAAACACTTGTGCATGTATCTTGGTCAAGGCATGTGAGAGGGCTGTCACATAATCTACCATTGCATCTGACTGGATCTGAAGTTGTTGGGGAAAGTAACAACCTAACCTAGGTGCTGTGCCAAACAAAATTTCATAAGGTGACAGGCTGTATTTTCCCCTAGGAGTGTACCTTACACTAAACAATGCTAATGGGAGACTCTCGGGCCAAGGCATGTTAGTTTCTTGTGACATTTTAAGCATTCTGGCTTTCAGAGTGCCGTTCATGCGCTCCACCTTACCACTACTCTGTGGGTGATATGGAGTGTGGAATGCAAGGGTCACCCCCAGTGCTGACCAGACTTCCCGTGTTAGCGAGGCAGTGAAGGAGGTTCCTTGGTCACTCTCAATTACTTCTGGAACCCCGTAACGGCAAACAATTTCTGTCAAGAGATACTTGGCTGTTGTCCTCGCGGTGAGGGTAGTCACTGGGAAGGCCTCTGGCCATCCTGAAAACATGTCCACTATGACCAGTGCATATTCATGGCGTCCGCTCTTTGGCATCTGAATATGGTCAATCTGAATCCTCTGAAAGGGGTATTGTGGCTTGGCTAGATGATTAGGTGCAGTCTTTATGATCTTTCCAGGGTTGCACTTAGCACATATAGTACAAGATTTGCAATAATTCTGTGTTAAGGTAGTGATGCCTGGTGCTTCAAAATATTTGTCAATCAGTGAATTCATCAGGAGCTTTGATAGGTGGGCTGGCCCATGGGCCCATTGGACCACCGCTGGGTACATACTTCTAGGTAGACAGAACTTGAGATTAATAGTGTAAACTTCATCACGGAGTATTGCTCCTTTGTTCTTCCAACTCTGTTTCTCCTGAGGAGTGGCAGCAACTTGCTGTTCCTTCAGCAGCCTGAGGTCTGTAGGCAATGTTTGCATAGTATAAATTGGTAATGCATCTGTGACCACTCTTCTGTCCACTTCCCATCCTTGTCGTGCTGCCTCTTTGGCTGCCTGATCAGCCAGGCTATTGCCACGTGCTTCTTCTGTGTCTAATCTTCCATGAGCTTTTACTTTCAATACTGCCACTTCTGCTGGGAGTTCCAATGCGTCCATCAGTTCTGCAATGGCTGCCCCATGCTTTACTGGGGTACCGGTAGCTGTAAGGAATCCTCTGGTCTTCCAGATTAAGCCAAAATCGTGTGCCACTCCCAGGGCATATCTTGAGTCCGTATAAATGTTGACTCGTAGGCCTTCGGACAGTTTGCAGGCCACAGTCAAGGCTATTAACTCGGCCTCTTGGGCAGATTTAGTTGGTTGTAGGGCAGCTGCTTGTAATATTTGACATCCTGTGGTAACTGCATATCCAGTGTGGTATTGTCCTTGTTTGTCAGCAAACCTTGAGCCATCCACAAATAGTATCTGATCCGGGTTGAGTAATGCAGCTTCATAAACAGTTGGTAGGTGTGTAGTTTCCATTTTCATTTGTTCAAAACAGTCGTGAGGGATATCAATAAGGTCGCAGTCTATGGTGGGTGGGTCCTCACAGGCCTCTGTGTGGTACCTGGAGTGTCCTGTTGTGTAGTAGTTAATTGTCTTTTTATTTATTCCTGCAGAAGTCAGTTGTTCTGGAGTCATTTGGTTCCAAGTTTTGGCCTTCGGCCCTAGGGTCTCCCATGTGATGTTGTGGGATCTGGTGAGAGGTATGTGTGGGATAGCTGTTTCCCAATGGTGGTAGAGGTGTACTGCATTGTCTGGAAGATGTACCAGAATGAGCATGGTACCTGTGGAGTCCCAAAACAAGTCAGTCAAGGTAATTTGGATGTCTTTGAGCTGAAATAGTTCTTCCTCATAGTCCACGTCAGGGTTTGGTGTGTCCCTAAACCACAAGACACAGTGGAGTAGGGCCTCTGATTGTTCATCATCAGGGGAAGGTGTAAACACAGGTAATTGTAAATCTGCTCGGATCTCTGGGTTGATGTCCAGGCTGTACCAGTGATGCACTATTCCCCCCTTGGGAAGTGGCAGAAGAGTGGCTGGGTTCAGGGAAAGGCATCTCTGGAGTTTCACATTGTCAGGTAGGAGTAAGGATGTCTGTAGGCGAAGGTGGCGTTGTGAAGAAAGGTGTTTTGGGCGGATTTGCTGTAAGATTGCAGTAATATCGTGAGGGGCCAACACTGTGAGGTGATGGCCAAGAACAAAGTCATTGGTCTTGTCCAGGAGAGCACTGGCGGCAAACACCGCTCGGAGGCAAGAGGGGCTACCCCTTGCAACAGGGTCAAGCATGCAGGAAAAATAGCCAATAGGGCGTTGTCTTGAGCCATGTTTTTGGGTGAGGACTCCGGAAGCATGTCCTGATTTTTCAGAGACAAAAAGGCTGAAGGGAAGTTGGTAGTTCGGTAGGCCCAAGGCAGGTGCAGAAGCAATAGCTCTTTTCAGAGTGCGGAAACAGATGATAGTTTCTTCTGTGAGATGGAAAGGTTCGCTCCTGAGGGCATCATAGAGTGGCTGCATGAGTTTTGATGCTTCGGGTATCCAGGACCTGCAGTACGTGATTAGACCCAGGAAAGCATGGAGAGCTTGGTGGGTAGCAGGTAGTGGAAGAAGCAGAATGGCTTGTACACGTTGGGAGGTGAGATGTTTGGTGCCATGGGAAAGGCAATGTCCCAAGAAGACCACAGAGGGCCGGCACCATTGTAACTTGGATTTGGAGGCTTTGCAACCAGCAGCAGCAAGAAAACATAGGAGGTCTTCTGAATCACGCTCCGCAGTGAGTAAATCAGGAGCACAGAGAAGGAGGTCATCAACATATTGAAGCAGGACGACATCCAAATGAGATTGTT